TCCAATAAATAAGGAGAAATTCGAACTACAACCTAAGGTACCATTTCCTAAATTTAAGAAACTTAACCATTCTAATCCTAAAAGCTTCTACCTATCCTAAGGAGTGTAAATCCATGAAAATGGCACTAAAATCCTCAAGAATAGAGAGCATGGATGAAAAATAGGAACCTGGTTTTGAGCTTTAATGGAGGTGTCAATTGGCAATGGTTCTCACTCCAAATGGTGTAGAAAGCTTCAATGAATCATCCTCAAGCTTCTAGCAACCTTGGTTTGGCTTGAATGTGTGCAATTCTCCAAAAACGAAAATCGATTTTTCTTCACTTTTTCTCCATGAAATTCTGTTATTTTTCCTCCAAAAGCAGTTATGGTAGTTGGGAAATGATCATAGGAATATATAGAATGGACTTGGATACTTTTGAAGCCCAATAGAAGCTTGTAAGAGTCCAACTCAAAATTCACATTTTTTATTATGGAGCTTTATGGAAATGGTGAAAACAGAGCCAAAACAGCTTGCAAGATGATCCATTCTAGTTACTTATGATGCAAGGGATATGAAGGGCTGAGATTGATGCCTTGGAAATGAATCTATAGTAGATTTTGCATTTGTTGCTTAAAGATGAAGAAACCATGAATTTGGCATAGCAAATGACTTCAAATTTGATTTCTGATTTTTCCATTGTTCTTAAAACATCAATTGGACTAAAAAAAATGTACCAACATGACATGAATTGGTTCCAAAATGAATTCATTTGAATTAGCCCATTTTCAAGCTTCCTTTCATGAATTTTTCTCCCTACATTTTCCTATCCAAGCCATATCAATGATCCCTTGAGGTTTGATTGACCAAATAATACCATTTGGAGCAACTTTCAAGTTGGCAAGATTTTCATTTGAGGTATGCAAAGTGGTGAACTTGACCTATAATGAAAATGACTTGTAATCTTACTTTCCCAAAATACCCTTGACTTGTAAGTCTCATATCTTGAGTTCTAGAAATCCAAATGAGGACTTCTAGTACTCTTTGGAAAACTAAGATCATGAGGAACAACATTTATGTTTGTCAAAAGTTGAGGAAAAACATCCTTCTAGCTCAAATATGTCCTGGAAGTTGGTTGACTTTCAAGTACCAAAATCACATTCATCTGATGACCTGTAACTTGTCAGCTTCATAACTTGAGTTCTAGAAATCCAATGAATGACTTCTAATACTAAAATTAAAGCTATGGACATGCTCTACAAGTATCATGTGGATATCAAGATGAGATGAAACTTGTATCTTGATTTATGTGGTCTTGAAGTTAGGCACTAAAATAGGGGATTTTACATTGTCAAGCTTAGAAACCCTAGCTCAATAACTTCTCACACTCTTGAATATTGATGAATTGATATTGGAATGATATCTTAGGTGTCTCAACACATCCTTCCATGATCATAGTTGCTTGGAATTGAGTCTTAATCTCCTCAAGACTCATAGTTGACTGAGGGTTGACCAGGTGAAAACCCTAGCTGTACCAATCTTGGTTGTGGCCTCTTGCACTTTGCATAATGACTTAAATAAGCTCCATAATGACTCTTAAGACCTCTTATGAGCTCCCACAATGCTTCATACCCATATCCATGGACTCACAATCATCTGGTGATCTTTTAATAGCCTCTAAGATAGGAGGTGAACCACATACAACTCTTTAACTTTTCTGATAGTGATAAGCTCTTGCATAGCTTGAATATAACTCCTTGACTAGGTTTAGACTTTGATAACCTCTTCTTGATGAGCACATCCCCTTGATCCCTTGTGAATGGATGATGTTATGCAAATGTTAATGCAATGAAATGCAATGCTGATGCTATGAAACAAAAGCCAGTTAAAGAAAAAGGTTGGGCAAATTTTGGGGTGCAACAGCTGCCCCTATTCAAACGGCTTGGACCTGACTAGGTGAGAAGAGAACGACTCTCAACCAATCAAGGTAGAAGACGGTTGAATACCAATAAACCCAGAAATTTGCCAACCTGCAGAAATAAACTACAAAACTGATTGGGAACGAACATCCAGAAAACTGAATACAGTTGCACGGCAACCAGCTAACTGCTCATCAGATACAGAACACCTCACCTCATGGTCATTCATCTGTGTAACGCCACAGACATTGATCCCACAGGTCGGATCAACATGCACTTGATCCTTTCATTTCGTCAGAAAGAAAAAATACTCACATCGTCTAAGGAAAGACGGAAAGTCACCCTTGAAAGCTGGATCAACATGCACTTGATCCTTTCATTTCGTCAGAAAGAAACAATACTCACATCGTCTAAGGAAAGACGGGAAGACTCCATACGTTCACATCGTCTAAGGTTGGGCAAATTTTAGGGTGCAACAGTAAACACGGGTCTTCGTTAGGAATCAAATCAAAAATATTTTGGAAGTAGGAAGCGGGCTAGTCATAATCGACATAAATTTCCCTCTCTTGATAGTCCTCAAAAGTTGAGTTTTTCCTTTTCTTGAAACATTGGTTTGTAGAAACATCAGAGGAGCCAACCATTGGAGAAGACATTGTCATGTCAGTCATCACAACCACGTGGTTTCCCATCTCTTCTACCAAAGGAGCATTCTGAGCAATTTTCACAAGAACATTTTGGGCACGGATTTTTAATAGATGGCTTGTTGTATAAAAAGAGAATAAAGTTAATAATCCACATAAAAAGTAAGGTACACTGTAATAAAGATCGTCGAACACAACTAACAAACCTTTGGCTTCATCATAACTAGAAGCTATGACCAAATACCATGTATCTGCATACTAACCTCTCATTTTATACTCTTTAGACTTACGATCAACGTAAGTGGGTCAACAAAACCCTAAATTTCTAGAAGACATTCCTTTTCCACGTCAAAGAGGTTTGTCGTCTTAAAAGACGGGTTTATCTTCATGTGATCAATAATATTTTGATTCAAGAATTGAGGGAACACCAATTCATAAACTACCTTGTCAACCTCTTCTTCAAAATCACAAAAATTTCAGTGAACTTCGGTGATAGTAGTTTCGTCAATAACATAGAAAAACTTTAAAAAAATTTAAAGACTATATGAAAAATTCAAACATCTTAAAGAAAGTACTTGAAATGGATTAGGTCATACGAGACAACATTTTTCTTCGTAAATTATAGGTTTGTAATGGTACTTGATGGTATGCACCATAGTAAGGGTGCTTGAAATTGTTTACTATACATAACCTGTCCAAGAGCAAAGACAACATTTTTCTTCGTAAATTATAGGTTTGGAAGGAACCTTGATGGTATTCAACATTGTTCCTGATCAAACAAATAAAAAAGTGAATTCAAGGAAGCTAGTCTCACCTGATCATCACTCTCCTCTACATAAAAGAAATGACGACAAAAATACAAATATACTAGAAATCACACTAGAACACGAAAAAAATTTCTAAACAATATCGATGAAGAAAAAGAATAGTAGAAGGACAAAACTGTTTCATCAAATTGGACAATGTCTCTCCCAGCAAAATATGAAACAAAGAAGGGATAATAGTAAGTTACAAGTAGAAAGTCTAAAGAAAGTTGAAGAATAAATAATTGAAGCACTTCAAAAAGAAGAAATCAAGAACACTTTGAATGCAAGCAAATATTGCAAGAAGGAAAGAGAGGGAAGTACGTCTCATTTTGATATTTTTAAATATATTTTCCTCAAGAAAAGAAGATGATGAGGCAAAGATGCAACGGTCCAAATGCACTGAAACCTATCTCATCATTAGAGATAATTACCATGTGCACTATAAATGTCGTTTAAGACAAAAAATCTCGAGGAATCCTATTACGCTTTTTTTTTAAATAACCATCTTTTTTAATTTATATACCAAAATAAATATTCTTTTAAATAAATTACAAAAATAACCACTTTTCAAAAAAAAATATTAGAGTCATCACTCAAATTTGCACATGTATTATAAAATTGTACAAATGGGCCAATTGAAATGGTGCATGTCTATAGCAACAGTAAACCGTGTACGTAAAAGTCTATTTTCTGTATGCATATACTAAACCACATATACCTACGGCACATTACTGTAGGTAAAAGTCTATTTTTTACATATAATTTTTTGTAAACATAGTTTAGAATATGTTTATATAAAATAGACTTTTACCTACGCGTTTTGTTGTCACTATAGAGTCATTTCAATTGACATCTATATACAATTTTATAGTGATGAGTTCAATTTTTTTTTTAAATAGTTACTACGATAATTTATTTAAAGTGATAGTTATTTTGATATATAAATTAAAAAAAGATGGTTATTTAAAAAATATATATATTCTCCTATTACTTGCTAACAATAGAAAAAAGAATTAACACAGATAAAGATCCTATTACTTGCTAACAATAGAAAAAAAAATTAACACAGATAAAGAACCATTGGATTAATAATAGTTGATAGATGATACAAACACTAAGACCGTGGTAATCATAGACCAAGGTCAACACAAACCACACTCTGGCGCATGAGTGGATGGATAGATTTACGACGCGCCAGTAAAAGTATATTCATATGATATGGAAGGTTTGATTTGATCCATAACTTGAAGAATGGTTAGATTAAGATCAAGGAAAAAGAGTCCCAAGTAAAGGATTATGAGACCTCTAAAATATGTTAAGTTCCGGTCTAAAGATATTTTATTCTTTCTTCCACATGTAAAATTGAAGCGGTTGAAGGAAGGACAAAATAAAGCACCGCTTAAATATGTTCGGCAGTAACATATATTTATAACAATTTATCAGTGATAATCTGACAGTAAACGCCAAAATCTTGAAACTTGAATCAATAAACGTACCAGATTAATGTTTTTACATATATATATATATATATATATATATATATATATATATATATATATATATATATATATATATATATATATATATATATATATATATATATTATATTATTGTAGTATAAATGAACATGCAAAGTTGAACTAGTATTCCTCTGATGATGGAAGGTGAAACAGTGATGCATACAGGAGGTTGTCATTGTATGAGTGTAAGGTGGAAAGTGATTGCTCCTTCCAGTGTGGTGGTATGGGACTGTAACTGCTCAATCTGCTACATGAGAGGCACTTCTAACTTCACTGTACCTGTTGACAAATTTGAGCTTTTGGGAGATTCTGCTGAGTTTCTTACAACTTACACGTTTGGCACTCACACTGCGAAACACACATTTTGCAAAATATGCGGTATAACTTCATTCTATTATCCACGCTCAAACCCAGAAGGGGTTGCTGTTACAATCAGGTGTGTTGACAATGGAACGTTGAAAATAGATGAAATCAAGAGTTTTGATGGGAAGAATTGGGAGCGCTCGTATAATGAGACAGGCATCGCTTCTTGTTCAAAGGTGCAGAAGTAACTACCATAACATTGTGGGAGACCAATTAGTTGATATCATTAGCAAGTCCTATTTGAAGTTTTTGTGAAGTTTTTGTGTTCCTTAACTCGTTTAGTGTATAATCTGCTAATACTTTGGCTTTAATGTATATGATGTAATGCTAATAATAAATATGTAAACAGAAAAATTATCTTGTTTGGAATTGTCATTGGTAGTTTCCACCTGTCTTTCAAATTTATACCCTAATGCGGTCTGATGTGGGTTGAAGCATCCGTTGCGGTGTTATGATACGGTCATTGTGGTATTATGATGCAGTTTTTATTGTGATTAATTTGCAATCACACCACAATTGTGGCCTGATGCGGAAGCGGACACTACCGCAACCGCAATTTAAAACCATGGATGTAACTAAAGTAAAAGCCTTGTACCAAGCAACACCAAGGATTCACTAATGAAATATAAAATCATGTAGTAGACTTTTTTGTTGTGATGCAACTTCTCTTATATGCATTAGAGTAAGCAAAAATGCGCCGGGATACGTTTGAAGAAAACATGATTCTTTGACTTGGTGTGATGAATTCCATTTAGATGAGGTTTTCTAGGTTTGGTCATATATTAACTAAATTTGTTTACTGCATATGAAATGTTTGGTCTGGAAATGGTTAGATATAGTAATCTCTACCAACGATTCTCCTATACTAAGAAACTTCTTCAAGAGACCCATCTTCATTATTAAAATTGACACTGGAATCTGTAGGTAGAGAAAGTGGTTTAGCATTTATGAAACCAACGTCTATGAGAAGTTGCAATGTATATTTTCTCTAACATCAATGAATTTCTTTGCTTGAATGTGAAATTTTTAGAAGTATTTAATATTTCCTTGAATCTTCAACTTAAACCTGCTTTGGGGAAGATTCTGAGTTTCCTGAACTAATTTTGAGTTAGGACTTAGAAGGAGTCACATGTTCCTTTTGTAAATAATGAGTGATCAGTTGAGGATTGTGTGAAGTCATATTCCATAATTATTGTAGAAAATTTGTGGTACCATTGCCTTGAAGCTTCCCTTAAATCATATAGGAATTTATTAAGTTTACATACCATATTTCCCCCTCACTTGGAGAACTAAGTGGCAGATCCATATAAATTTCCTAAATTATATTACCATTTAAAAATGCATTATTGATGTTTAGTTGAGCTAATTTTCATTTGTAAGCCGTTGCTAGACTGAGTGTGACTCTAACAGATGTGAGTTTTGCCACTGGTGAAAAAGTGTATATGAAATCATGGTCAGGTTGTTAAGTGCATCCCTTAGCAACTAATCGAGCATTATACTTATTCAAGGAACCATCATCATTAAGCTTTGTTTTATATATCCATCTACATCCAATAGATTTCTTTCTTTGAGGTAGAGCTTGTATTGTCCAAGTGTTATTTGCCTCAGGAGTTGTTATTTCTTCACCCATGGCCTTGCACCATTCGAGAATTTTGGTTGCCTGACGATAGAATTGAGGCTCATATACTTAGGAAACATGCATGACAAAGTATTTTTATGAATCAGACAAGTTTTCATATGATAGTGAATCAGTAAGTGGATAAGGAACATGGTTGACAAAATCTCTTAATCTATTTGGGGCTCATTGAGTCCTACTAGACCTTCTAAGGACAAAAACACTTGGATCAATAGGCACATTACGATTTTTCGTATGCATATGCAATGTAGGTTTTAGAATGTCATGTTGTGTAGTATCAGTGTTTGGTACATAATCATGAGAAGAGTAATCACAAATTGGACATGGCTAGACTATTTGATGAAAATGATCAACATGATTTTTATTGTCTAACACTAAATGGAAAGGGAGGGTGTCTTCATGAAAGATAATACCTCTAGAAACATGAAAAGTTTTTAAAACTAGATCATACACCTTGAAACCTTTGTAGCTAGTGGAATATTGATCATTCATCATTTATGTAATAGTTTAGAGTATTTAAAGAGCTAAAATTCATGTAAACTGTATGATTTGAGACCTATTTCTGGAGTTTTTGAGCCTATGTGTGTCAGATTAGTGTCAGTAAGTAATTTGAGTCTCTCTTGGTTATTTTTACACGTTTGGTATGATCTCATGTGGATCCAAATTAAAAGATACAAAGGAAGAAGAATCATATCAAAAGACTGAGGCAAAACACAAGAGCAGAAGAAAGAGAGAGAAAATTTGGTTGCAATTGTTCATACGCGTATGACATTGTGCTTTATGCGTATGACAATGCCCCATTTAAATATCTAGTCAGTTTTTTTATTATATTCGTTTGATTATTTTTGCATTGGCTTGGTTAAGGGTATGTATGCAAGAGTGAGTGTGAGAACTTAGTGTAAGAAGTTAATGGGAGTAAATCTTAGAATAATATTATGATAATAATAATATTAGTGATGGATGAAATATTCCATTATTATTATTAAGATTATTATTATTATAATTAGGGAAATAAAACATAATTAGAGAGAAGTGAAGAAAGAGGTTACAGTATCAGTTACACATGAAAAGAGAAAGGAGAGAAGAAAGAAGCAGAGCTATGGCAATAGGAGATCAAGAGTTTTCACCATTGTTAGGAAGAGATCAAGTTTGGAATTAAGGTAAGGGGGATAATATATTCATCAATGGTGATTAGAACATGAGAGGGTAGTAAGGGTTCCTTTCTCTCTTAGGACTTTTTGTGCATTCTTCTCATTGCTTGTTAGATTTCCATGTATGTGTGATTGTTGTTGTGAATTTGTGTTTGTGTACTGATATTGGCATGAAATTCATGTAAATTGTGGATTATTGTTGTGTTTTACCATGAAAACGGATTTGGAAAAATGGATTTTTGGGAGTTGACGAATAGGTAATTTAATGGTGAGAAAACCTTAATAGAATTTTAGTTTAGAGTAAACCTATGGATGATAATTGACATGAATGCTTTTTGGGGTCAGAAATAGGAGCTTGAAGGTGCTCAAATGGGTGGAAAATTGCACTGATGCAGAAATAGGAGCTTGACAGTCGGGGAATATGCTTCCCGATTCGAGGAACTTGTAAAGTATTACTCTCATTATAATATTGATGCTGCTATGAGTTTAAAATGTATCAAGTTTGAGAACAGATTGCATCCTGAGATCAAACAAGGTATCGGCTATCAGAAAATTAGATATTTTCCTGAGTTGGTGAATAGGTGCAGGATTTATGATGAAGATATCAAGGCTTGGGTTGCTCACTAGAAGACCTTGAGTGACAAAAGAAGTAGACAGTGGCACGGGGTTACGCTTTACAGTGCTCCGGCCGATAAAGGGATCATGCAGAACATCTGAGGATTGCGTTGCAAGTGTTAAAAGTTAATAAGTTATTTGTGAAGGTTTCAAAATGTGAGTTCTGGCTGCACGAAGTTAGTGTTCTGTGACATGTTATTTTTGGTGATGGCATAGCAGTGGATCCATCCAAAGTGAGTGTTGTACTTCAGTGGGAACCTCCGAAATCAGTGACGGAGATTAGGAGTTTATTGGGTTTAGCAGGTTATTACCGTAGGTTTATCGAATGGTATTCTAATTTGACCCTTCCTCTAACTCAGTTGACTAGAAAAGGTCAGGCCTTTGTGTGGAATATCTTGTGTGAAGGGAGTTTCATGGAATTGAAGAAGAGGCTAACTACTACACCAGTATTAATTCTACCAAATCCAAATGAATCTTTTTTGGTATATTGTGATGCATCTAAAATGGGATTAAGCGGAGTATTAATGCAAGATGGAAAGGTCTTGGCTTATGCCTCACGACAACTAAGGATACATGAAAGGAATTATCCTACTCATGATCTTGAGCTAGCTGCAGTGGTTTTTGTGTTGGAAGTTTGGAGACATTACTTGTATGGATCAAGGTTTGAAGTGTTCAGCGATCATAAGAGTCTGAAATACTTATTCGACCAGAAAGAGTTGAATATGAGACAGATAAGGTGGTTGGAGTTCTTGAAGGATTATGACTTTAACTTGAGTTACCATCCAGGTAAAGCTAATGTCGTGGCGGATGCTTTAAGTCGAAATATGATTCACATGTCGATCTTAATGATTAAGGAGTTGGACTTAATCAAACAGTTTAGAGACTTGAGTATGGTTTGTAAACTGACTTCTTAGGTTGTGATGTTGGGTACGCTGAAGGTTAATAATGACTTCCTTAATGAAGTTAGAGAGAGTCTGAAACTTGATTTGAAGCTAGTGAACTTGATGTCCACAAGAGGGTCGGATACAGAATGTGACTTTAAGGTGGATGATTTTGGTGTGTTGAGGTTTCGGGGTAGAATTTGTGTATCAGATAATCCTGAATTGAGGAAAATGATCTTAGAGGAGAGTGTCATACCCTGAATTTTGACCACCTCATTTTAATTTTTTCGGTCATCTGACTGCATTTTCACTTTGCATCATCTGTATATCATATCATATATTTTATCATGAATATTGTTTGAATTATCAGTCAGAATTAACATGTTAAATTTTCTGGCGTTTTTGGTCAAACTAAAAGTCAATTGTGCACAAATCCGGTGTACGGACAGTTTTTTAAATTAAAATTGTGGATGTCAATTTTTAATCTATTTTTCGTGTACTTAACCTAGTGTGCTTATTTTGCTTTTTCAGCTATTTTTCGATCGCTTTTTGATAGAATTGTGCAACAATTTCAAACTTCATCATCACATTACCACAAATTTCTTCATTCAAACTTCTTGGACAAATTTTCCAACTTACATCATAAGCTTACATCATTCTATCTTCATGCCCAAGTTATAATTTTTCTATAAATAGGATACATATTTCACTTCATTAGAGACACCAAAAATAATACTCTTAAGTTGTTTTCTTCACATATCTCTCTCCCTCACAACTCTTAATTTTTCTTTTGCAAAATTCATGTTCATATTCTTTTTCCCTACAACACATATAGCATACTTCATACCACAAACTCACATACATACAACACATTCACGAAAGGAAGGGAGTTTACAAAACACGAG